CTGATTTCTCCAGCCCACTCAGACGGTGGTGAGGGAGAGACTTTGATTTATTGAAGCTGTTTGTTTGTTTGTTTATCATCCAGTGAGGAAGGCAGCAGTTCTGACAGGAACAGCTGTCCCTCTCTGCCTCACACCCAGTCTCTGCCTCTGCTGCTAATGCTCATGTAATGTTAACTTGTTTAATTACCACTGTAGACCATCAGTACCAGAGTGTGTTGTGGTGGTGGTGGTGGTGGTGGTGGTGCAGATACTGCTGAATACATTGAGCGGACGTCAGTTTCTGAGTTCCTGCCACCAGCCTGACTGCTGATCCTGACTTAGAGACCGAACTCTGGATGTTTGGATCAAATTCAGTATTGTTTTCTGGAATATTTTAATTTTAGCCATGAACTGTGGACTTCCAGGAACATGAGCTCAGCAAAACGGAAGCAACTCCTCCCTCTGCTCTCAGCTTCTCTGATAACCTCCACTCCACACACACACACACACACGTACACACACAAGTACACACGTAACTGCACCGTGTCCCATTATCAGGTTTCAGCACTGCTCTCTGCCACACAGAGAGGATGGATTGAATAATATGGCAAAGTCTGTCTGAGGCAGAAACGTCCAGAGGAAGCTGATGTGGATGGAGTAAGATAAGAAGACTGGAGCTGATGCAGTCAGATAGAGACGAAGGTCAACGTGCAGGTCAAGATGCACAATTCAACAGTCTTCATTTATCTCCATGAAAAAAGACACAGTTCAGTTCAAACTTCTGAGGAGTTGAAGGTTTGGACCAGTGGTTCTCCACCTTCACAGCCAGGACCTACGACTGTACTGTTTTCAACAGTGTGTCTGACTGCACTTAGATTGTGGCGTTGTTCATCTGCTCCAGGTTGTGACTCCAGTCCTGAACCTTAGTCCTGCAGCGTCTTATCAGTCAGCACATCATGTGTCCCGCATCCCAGCCGCCCGGGACGCCACAGTATGTCATTAAGGGACGCCCTGCGTCTTTCACTGTGTACATAGGTGAGTCAGTGCATGTGCTGTTCACACATGTTTTCACCCTCCCTCTTTAATTGAAATACTATTGAGAACATATGTATTTTCTAATCTGTACAAACCACTGAACGTACCAAAAAAATCATTTAATCATAAATTATACAATATCTGACCAGAAATGACACCAAAATACTCTTATTTCACGAGGAACATGCAGAAAAGATAGAATTTGGATTTTTTTTTTCAAAGACCTTTATCATAATTTGACACGGGCTGACCAACATGACATGCAAATCAGGATTTTCAAAAAAAATTCAATAAAGAGAATGTTTTTCTAAAATATTTCTCAAAATGCTCTAATTTGATGAGGAAAATGCAGAAAAGATAGAATGTAAAAGATACATGATGCACCGAACACAAATACTTTGATTTAATTAAATATACACTGAACATAAATCAACAAATACGTCTCTCTTTTGTGTATATGACACAGAACGGTCTCAGAATGAATGGATTTATAGGTAATATAATCTCTGACAAAAAGAAATCTTGTGTTTAATCAGCAGCTCAGACAGAGACAGTCCTGGACCCAACAAATACCACACAAATATATTTTGTGCGACATAATTGTGTGAAAGAACGTTTCCTCATCTCCACAGGTGGTGTTCATCAGAACCGAACCAAAGGGAGGAGGTGACAAGAGCTGCCTGTCAGAACAAACCTCTGGGTTCACGTGTGACGATGATTAAAGCAGGGGTAGGGAACACACGTGTGTGTGTGTGTGTGTGTGTGTGTGTGTGTGACCTTTGACCATCACATCCTATAATAAACTTTCATTATGATTCACACAGATGAATGTGAGAAACAGAGGTGGAGAACGACTGTACACAGGCGGAGTGGTTGATCATCATCATCATCATCATCATCATCATCATCATCATCATCATCATCATCCTCATCATCCTCCATCAGGTAGCTAACAACAGATACACGTGATAGTGTCAGTGTCCTTGTGCTCTTCCCAACTTGGGAACCAGTACTTTCTATGACGTGGCTTTTGTTGAGGCACGGTAAATCCAAATTAAAGCTAAGTCTCCATCTTAACAGCACAGACCAAAAACTAGCAGATAGGATATTAGGTTAACGAGGTCAACGAGGTTAACGAGCTCACCACGCTGTGATTACTGTGATCAACTGTAGGACTGACGAACAGAATGATGAGGCTTTTCATGAAGGTCTTACAGTGAATAGGAGTATGGAGGTGTGAGATGTTTCACTTCACAGCCACTAATCTTCCTACAGTATGTTGAATCCAATAAGAAACCTGCTTTAATACAAAAGTTCTACTTCCTCCTGAAGTTGCTTCAGCCGGAATTTCTGGAACTGCTCTTTTTTTTCCCAATTGTAAGTGTTTCCCGATGTTCCAAAAGTATTTCTGTAGGATGTAGAGAACAATTCATCACTGATTAATTTGGTTGGGCAACAGGCTGGAGTCTGGCAAGGCTCAGAGTCAAGGACCTGAATGGTTCTGGATATCAAGTTTCGGCTGCATTTCCCAAGAACAGCTGACGTTGTCCTGCCTACGCTGGCATGTTTAGGAATGGTTAATAGTGAGATTTTCACATATGTTGAACAGAAGGAGATTTGGTCGTCTGATGATGACCACAACGGTGGTAATGGTGATGATTATGATGATAATGATCATTGTGCAGCTCCTTATCTCCACCTCCTCCGTCTCCTCTCTCCTCCATCTCCACTTGCAGCTGCTGCTGACATTTCCTGTAAAAGATTGTTTGTTGTTACAGTGAGTTCATGTTTGTTTGTGACAAATAATTTGACATGAATAACTTTGTTTGGACTCACACCAGCACCAGGAACATACACACAGTTCTTATTCACCCAGATATCAAGTCCATGTGGGCCACGTGTTTCTTTTCCTGCT